AAGTTTGTGCAAGTCTTCACTACTCGTTCCCCTTAGCTGCTTTATATTCCATGCATCCCCTGTTAAAAAAAAAAAAAGAAAATTAAAAAAAAAAAATCTATTTAATAGAACAAAGTTCTCTTATTCTGAAAAAAAAAAGTGCTTCTATTAGCAGGCTCAGCTGACTCAACAGAACAAGGATCACTTTTTTAAAAAAATACTACCTCTTGGAAAGCTATCCTTGTGGAGATTCAGCTTTGTGTTGAATATACAAATAGATTACACAGGCAATGACGTGTACTCTTTATTTGTGTTTGTAAAAAGCTTGGAACAGGGAAAGCTATAAGATGAATCTTTAAATTGAAATATTTTTATTCCATGGTACCGTATATTTCATCAAAGAACACCTCTTCTGTGACACACTAAGAGTAAGGCAGAGAATTTACAGCAAAATGTTTTGCTGCATAATAGCTATTTGCTTTCATAAACACAGAATACACAGAAAAAAAAATAAAGTTAACAGGCATAAAATGCACAAGTATATTTATGTACATACACACATAAAAAATAAGTTTTATGTAGCTATGAATACTTCCTATAACGCAAAAGAATAAGTCAGATTTCAGCTGAGCACAAGTGGCTCAAAGATCACTATGACAAATGCTAAACACAACTCACCAGACTTTATGGTTTTTTCTCCCCAGTTTCTTGGATCATCAAAAAACTCCTCCAGACCTTTCCGAGGCACAGTAGTGTGCAGAAATTTCAACTGATGGAAGGGCTCAACTTTTGCTAGGTTCTTGTGGAATAGATTCAGTGTCAACCTGCTTAAAATTTGGAAGAAAAACTCTATATGATAAGAAAAATAATATGCAGCTAAATGAGAATGCTTCCTTTATTCATGAAGGCACAGGTCCCACAGACAGATGAATGCTACAGTCTAAGTGGAAAAGGCAAGGGTTCAGTTCTTTGTAAAAATGTCATCTCAGTGTTGTCTTCTCCTCCCCCTTACCTCATTTAATTATCATTTATCAATACTCAGACATAAATAACAACTTGAGAATTAAAAGAAAGGGGTTTGAGCCACACTATACAAGAATACGTCCTCCCACGTCGACTTTAACTAAATGGCAAAAGCAGTAAACACACAGTGTAAGCACAAAAAAAAAAAAAAAAAAAAAAAAAAAAAAGGCACTGGAAGCGTAACGACTGTAAAACAGTAACGAGCGCAGGGAAACGCTTCGCGCTACGCTTACACAAGGCCTTGCCGTACAGGGGGTTTCCAGCCAGGGCTTC